TCCGGGGCATAGAAAGGGAATGGATTTACTATTCTTGGGGGGGAAAGGGGTGAGGGAGATGCAGGAAGAGACTGGACAAAAATTGTGTACCTATGGATGAGGACAGTGGGTGGGGAGTGAGGGCGGATAGTGGGGCGGGAACTGGGAGGAGGGGAGTTATGAGGGGAAAAAAGAGGAACAAATGTAATAATCTGAACAATAAAGATTTAATTAAAAAAATAAAAAAATAGTAAGAGTAGCATAGTTACCGGAGATGTAGTTCCTGTCACTTGACTTACTTCTGACTGGGTACAGGTTGTGCCCTCATCATTTTCAGGAAGGGAACATAAACCAGATGCTGGAGGCATCCCTTTCTTAATAAAAGATTGTACGAAATGACTAATGGAAAGCAAAAACAAACTTGTTATCTTATCTCTTCTTTAATGTTACTGATCAACAACTGCAGTTTTTATTGCAATATAATTGGCATGTAAGATAATATTAGTTTCAGTTATAATTAGAAATTTGTATATAGTGTAAAATGATTGCCACAAATCTAGTTAACTTTCATAGCCACACATACTTACAATTTTTTCTTGTGATCTACTCACTTAGTAACTTTCAAATATATACACAGTGTTATTAACTACATTCACCATGTTACACATTTTGCCTCCATGACATTTATTTTATAACTGCAATTTCGTACCCTTTGACCTCCTTTACCCATTTTGCCCACCCACCAATCTAACCAACCTCTGCACTAAGTTCTCTGTACTTATGAATTTATTTTTGGAGGTTTTCTTCTCTTTTTTCTTTTTTTGTTGTTGTTTGTTTCTTTGTTTTAAGACTTCATATATAAGTGAGCTTGTTACTTTGGCTTGTTGCTGCACAGGGTTTGTTCAAAAGACAAATATGGTATTTGTCTTTCTCTGTGACTTATTTCACTTAGCACAATACCTCAAGATCCACCCATGTTGTTGCAAATGGCAAGATTTCCTTATTTATGATTGTTGAATAATGTTTCATTATATATTAACTAACTGAAGTTTGTCAACAACAGAATGTTATGATTTTGTTCATTTCATCATTGTCATTCTTTTACAGACAATCATATTTCTTTCCTGTCAACAACATTAAACTTCTTTCTATAAGACCAAAGAAATATCCTCTATCAGTTAATGCACTATTTATTTTAAAACAACAGCTATCAAGTTTGAATGTTGATGAACAGAACATAGGAATTTGACCACATTTAGAATTGATTTACCTAAGCATCAGAGTTATGTATGAGGGAAATAGAGCTCAGAGTCAGATTTAATGATGAGTGATGAGCACTCAAGCTAATAACTGAAACATCCATAGTAACTACCCAAGTTTATAGTATTTCCTTTCAAGTACCTAATTGCAGATATGACTCCAAATCATCATTGCATAGTGAGAAATTTATAAGCTCAATAAAAAGACATTTGTTTTAGTATATATGTATACATATATGTTTTTAGGTGTGTTCAAAGATAAAATTAAATTCATGTATACAGACTTCCTAAACGTTTTGATTTTTTTTCCTTGCCAGTGTTCAAGAAAACTTCTTAATCCCCCTGATGCCACACGTCTCTGATTTCCCTGAAGCTGCCACTAGAGGGCAGCACACGCATATTTATGAGGCTTCCATTCTGACAAACAAGGCCAGTGCCAAGAGTGGGTGAGTCTGGCTTGTTGCTGCACAGGGTCTGTTCCAATGAATAGCAATAGTGGTAGCAGTCACTTTCAAAGGCTTGGGGAAAAAAGACTTGCTTTTATGTTGACCTGAGAACTGAGATTCTACAGCAAAGCGGGAGAAGGGACATTACATTCACATGGGATGAAAAGCCATTCACGTTATCTTCGTGTTTGCATCTGACAGCTAAAGCAAATACGCCAGCATATTCGTAACAGTTTCAAGTGGTGAACAGGCTAGTTGAATTAAATCAAGTGTTGGTCACCTGGACTTGGGTTATAGAAGTTAATATACCTTAATCAGGTCATAAAGCTGAAAGGAGGCCTAGGAAAATCAAGAAAGAAAGTGGATTGAGGAATTCTGGTTATAAAACAAACCTGTTTGTGGTCCCTGCTGACACAGGAATTTTAGATTCTCTCATAGAGATTTTAGGTGATGGCAAAACCTCTGACACGCGAACTCATTTTTTTGGTTGATTTTTCTTTGTTAAATGGCATTTAAATATATAAAATAAATATCAAAAATATAAGTCTTTGTTTTACTATGGTTGCAAATAGCAAAAATTTTCTATATGTGACACGGCACCAGAGTTAAGTTAGGGTTTTTCAAAATGCTGACACGCCGAGCTCAAAAGGTTCGCCATCACTGTTTTAGAAGTCTGGGCGGCATTCTGAACCGTGAGAAAATTTTTCTCAGTGGATTTTCAGCCTCGGTTCTTACAATCTACAAAATATCTGACTAACATGCATTCTTAAGGTCCCCATTCTAATTATATTTAAGCCATTAATCAATTTAAAAAATTTGGTGATGTTTCTCATTGCACCCAAAAATTTAGGGCCAAATTTGGAGGAAGCAAAGTTACTAGAAAGAGACAATATTGAGCATTGATAAAACAATAATCGGAACTGTGAAAGCAAAACTAAAACTACAACTAAACCAACCAAACAAACACATTCCAGAAAAGGCTGGTCGTCTGGGGCCATTGAGTGTTGGGTTAAGTAGTTTCTTGAAGTCCCTCCGACATAAGAAAAACAGCAGAGCAACAATACTCAGTATGATTCATTTAGATAAGGAAACCTTAGAGTATGCTCTACTTAGGAAGAAAAGACATTGTATAATATATTCATAACATAAACAAATAGTTGACATAACACGAGTTTTTTATCAAATTAATGACAAAAATGATGATAGCATTTGTGTTGTTTATATTATACTATTAGTTAGGACTATTCCTGTCCCAAAATGGCAGGAAGTCTAATTCATTGGTAGAATTAGTAGAAAAAGAAGCCACATTGGCTTTTGTAACTGAAAAGTCTAACAGGAATGGAAAATAATTTATACAATATTCTCTTTACCTGTCTAGAAATCTAATAGGCATATAATTGTTAAATATATAAAGATCCGATACATAGAAAGACAGTGAAAAACTGAGGCATATTGCTTTAATAGCTTCACAGGTTAATCCTTTTGGGGGAAGAACTGTACTCATTTAGGAAACATCTTGGCAGAACACACTACTTGCTAGATCAAGGAGTAAGGGAAAGGTGAGGTAAGAAGTGGTTTGAGAACACCATCTGTGAGGAGGCAGCACAAAACCAAAACGGAGGGCTAGCCTGCTCTCCGCATGAGAGCTGAAGAGATGGAGAGAGACCAGCCTGAGGAGAAGATGGACAAGACTATGCAACATGGCGAGAAGCTTGGCGATATGGAGAATGGTGGCCGATGGGATTTCCCAATAGTAGAGTGGCTGAACTATTTAAAAGCTGGAGTATCTAATCCTCTCTTTTAATTAACTGGGTTACTCAAATGGGACCAAAATATAATATTTCCCTCAACCCATCCTTACTTTCCATGTACCATTAAAAAAGTCTGCTGGATGCACAAATTTGGGGATATTTTTCTTGTTTGTTTTGCTTGTGTTTGGTTGATTCTAAAGAATAAGAACTAGAGGATAATTAAGGTAAAGTGAATTCTGGATCCGATGGGTAAGGAGCAGAGAGGAGACAACAGCCATGACAGGTGAAATGCAAATGAGGGGGTGGGAGAAGCTGGGAATCACAGCCAGAGTTACACATTCCGTTCAAGACACCAAACTGAACACAAATGTACTGCACTCCTCCCACCTACAACCCCACTGGGATCTCAGAAGAAATAAAAGCAAAATCATACAGAACTGGCAAAGTAGAGGTGCCATAATTAGAACAGTAACACATCCCTTAGAGCAGTGGTTCTCAACTTTGGCTGCACATTAGAATCACCTGGGAATCTTTTTAAAATCCTGATTTCTGGGCCTCCTCCTCCGGAAATTCTGTTTCTTTGTTACGGGGTGAGGCCTGTGGGAAACTGATATAGGGTTGAGCCTCGGACTGACCTGCTGGCAAAGTCACAAACAATTCCCAGCTTAGAGGGCTCTGGTCCCCCAATATTTCCAGATTATCTCATGTCTTTTCTATTTCATTTGTGTGCGGATCCTCTTCCAGATATTGAACCCTGAACCACGCGGGACGTGGAGGGAAACATTTATGACAAGGCCACAACATTAGTAACAAAGAAACAGAATTTCCAGAGGATGAGGCCCAGAAATCAGGATTTTAAAAAGATTCCCAGGTGATTTAATGTGCAGCCAAGGTTGAGAACCACTGCCTTACAGACAGATAAGAATAGGTTGATGGCAAAACCCAGCAAAGCAGAGAACCCCAAATCCCATTAGGACAAAGGGGAGGGCACCCGAAGTCTGTGAGCTTACCCTGGAGCCTCTCCGGTTGAATTTTAAACTGGAGGCAGCAGAGGCCTGGGGAAGACATGGGCAACGGGGCAGGAAATGATGGAGAGGGCAGGTGAGCTAACTCTCCAATCACCTCCTTGGCAATTGACTGGAACTTTTGGCCTCAGGTAAAGCCTCCGTTGCAGCTTTGAAGTGAATTAGGTTATCTGTGGGTGATCCAGGGAGAGAAGCCTGGCAGGCCCTCACATACTGCACTTCCGACAGGGAGATGAGGAGCCATGACATTTACAAAGAGAGCCACCTGTATCACAGGCTGGGCGCAAGTTCTTCCACCGCCTGCACACTCATTGCCATCAGGGCTTCTTCCTTCGGGGTTCTAATTCTTTCTGCAAAATAGGTTCGTGGAGGGGCAACCATAGCACTTGGGACATACCTTTGTTATGACAATTATACTTTATTACAATTATTTCCTTATCCATACAGCTTCCCCAGGAGTTGACGTCTCTGTGGGGCAAGACAGTGTGCTATATTTCTATTTTCAAGTGAAATATAGTGCCTTGTTGTAGTTTTCTATGTCTGCTGGGTTGCTTAGACGATAATTTATTTCCTCACTGTTCTGGAGGTTGTCAGTCTGAGGTCAGACTGACAACATGGTCAGTTTCTAGTGAGGACACCCTTCCTGGATGGCAGACAGCTACCTTCTAGCTGTGCCCTCCCATAACCTTTCCTCAGTGGGTGAAGAGAGAGAGAGAGAGAAAAAGAGAGAGAGAGAGAGAGAGCGAGAGAGGAGAACTTATAATTTATTTCCTCACTGTTCTGGAGGTTGTCAGTCTGAGGTCAGACTGACAACATGGTCAGTTTCTAGTGAGGACACCCTTCCTGGATGGCAGACAGCTACCTTCTAGCTGTGCCCTCCCATAACCTTTCCTCAGTGGGTGAAGAGAGAGAGAGAGAGAGAGAGAGAGAGAAAGAGAGAGAGCGAGAGAGGAGAACTCTGTCTCCTATGAGGGCACTAATCTTATGATCTCATTTAACCACACTTACTTCCTTAGGGGCCCTATCTCCAAAAACAGCCACACTGGGGTTAAGTGCTTCAGCATCTGAATGTTAGCAGGGCTTAAACATTCAGCCCATAACACTGACACATAAAAAGTGAAAAAGACATGTTTGTTAATTAAGTAGATTAGTGAAATCACAAGCTGTACAAGATCCAAGAACTATCCTCTACTATATTTTATACATACATTTCACCTTTTCATTAAATTAATATTTTTCAAAATGCTCCCATTTAGAGTTATTTTTAGCCACACAAACGACAAAATACTTTTTCGAGAGCAAGATGCATTTGTGGGAAAGAATGTAACACACTTCATTTCTCCCAAGAAGACATACAAACAGCCAAGAGGTACATGAAAAGATGTCCAACCTCACTGGCAATCAGGTAAATGCTAATTAAAATACAATGAGATACCACCTTACACCAGTTTGAGTGGCCATTATTAGCAAGACAAGCAACAACAAGTGCTGGAGAGGTTGTAGAGAAAAGGGAACCCTCATTCACTGCTGGTGGGAATGTAGACTGGTACAATCACTATGGAAAGCAGTCTGGTGATTCGTCAAAAAATTAAAAATGCAGCTACCATATGACCCAACAATCCCACTCCTGGGTATATACCCCCAAAACTGAAAATCATTTATATGCAAAGATATATGCACCCCTATGTTCATTGCAGCATTATTCTTGGTGGCCAAGAGTTGGAAACAGCCCAAGTGCCCTACCATAGAGGACTGGATAAAGAAGATGTGGTAAAAGGACACATATGTAATACCCTTTGTAATACTTTAAGCAATAAAAAAGAAAATAAATTAAAAAATAAATAAGTAAATAAATAAATAAAAGAAGAAGATGTGGTATATGTACACAATGGAGTACTACACGGCCATAAGAAAGGGTGAAATAGCATCATGTACAACATGGATGGACCTTGAGAACATTATGCAAAGTGAAATAAGTCAAGCAGAAAAAGCTAAGAACTATATGATTTAACTCATATGTGGAATATAAAATGGAAACTTATGAACACAAACAGCAGTGTGGTGGTTGCCAGAGGGAGGGGGGTGGGGAAAGAAAGGGATCTTAATATGAGGTTACAGGAGATTTGACTTTGGGTGGTGGGCACATGGTCCTACGTACAGATTTTATAAATTCGTAATCCACACATGAAACCTATATGTTCATGTTGAGTAATGTCACCCCAATAAAAGTAAAAACAAAAAAAGTAAAATAAATAAATAAATAATAAATAAATAAATGGCTTTGAAAAAAAAATAAAACCCATTCTTAAATTTTTTAAAAAAGGAATGTAACATACTTACGTTTCTGTTGGAATTGTAAAGGGAGTCATTCTAAAATTCAAGAATGGACTTGATATTTCAAGAAACTGTTCAGGCTTCTTTTGTATTATTTCTGAAGAGAAAAAGGCAGTGTGATGTTCTCTTTCTCCATCTTCTAAGATGACATGTAATACTAATTACATTACTATTTACCCATCAAATTTCAATAGAGCGAAATAGGAATGTCCTAGGATACATAAGGTTGTTTTTCTTAAAAAAAAAAAAAAAGGTAAAAAGCTTATCAGCCAATATGAGATTTCTTGAGCTTACTCGTCAGTTGCTTTTCAGGTTTGCAGCATGAAACAATGGAGTCTCAATGGAGAACATTAGCAATGGCTTTTGAAGTTATTACTTGGCATTTGCTATTTCAAGTACAGGAGTGGCTTTCTATAAAAGTCTTTTACTAAAAAAAAGAAAAGGTGTTCTCTTGGCTAACCCCTGCGCAATCGCTTAGGACATGAAAAGGAAACGTGGACTAAGTCAGGGAAGTAGTAGTGGAAGAACAGAAATGTAACAAAGTAAAGGTCATGAGCAGCAAAGAAAGCGGTAGGTCGAGAAAGGACATGTGGATATTCCTAGGAATGTAAAGCTAACCTCGAAGGAATTCTCAGTGGACACGGGGCACAGACTATGCACTGGCCTGGTGAACACTGAAATTAAACATTAAGGAAGGTTATTTTAACAGAAGCTACTAGAACGGCGAAGGGATGCCCACCGGAGAGAAACTGAAGCTCTGACACATACACATGACTTTTCTGTGCTTGCTCTTGGGCTAGCCTTGAAATGCTCTCTATTTCCTGTTAGTTTTCACCCTAAACATTAAACCCAATTGAGAGGAGAAAGACAATTATGTGTAAGCCTCGAGGTGGGACACTGTGACTATGGAATCCCATGATTCCTTAATTTTCTTGACCAGCTTACAAAAGCAGTCACTCACATAGAATTACACAACAATCAGTAGTGAAATAGAAAATATCTATATGTTTAATATTTTCCTTTCATTTAGCAATTCCTTGATGATCTGGATGAACAGTGATTTTAAATGTGTCTCTGTGCATTTAATGAAAATATTGTGTTTAAAGATAAAAGAGTTTCTTTCCTTTCCAGTGTCTGATGGCACTTTTCGGCACCAATAGCCCATTGCAGAAACAAAAGAAATGTAAAGAGATGACTAACACAATCAAGCAGGAGGTAGAGAGGCAGATAAGCCTAAATAAAGAACAAATTGACCATTTCTCCTCTCCACCCAAACCAGACATTTCTTTATTCTTTATTCTTTCTTGGCAAGAATAAAACATTTATGCTAGAGAAGTCTTTGCCACCAGTTGTACTGGCTGTATGCATGTAGGCAGAAAGCAAATGTGAAGAAAATGACATGGCTAACAGTTGCTATTTATATTTTCAAAATGTGGAAACTATGGTTGGAAGTAGGAGGTGCGGAATAGGTATATATTCCAATACATGTGGCTATTGCAGATTTAGGACCCTGAGTACCACTGAGATGTTTGTATTACACTGTAACCGAGGTGTGCAGTGAAGGATCCTGTCACCTGCAATGAAGGATCGGTAATGCTTGAGTTGGCACCGGGAGCAACACCAAGCATCACCGCCAGTAGAGGTACAAACCAAGGTACATGGGATCAAAGGCTTGAAGCATATCGGCAAGCTTCACAGGGATGCCTTCTGTAAACTGGCACTTGGTATGTTCGTTGTGGCTTTGGCTTTCTTGTTCCTTCAGGTGACAGGCCTGTGAACACAGCCCCTAATGTAACCTCTGGGATGTGAAGTACTGTGGAGGGGTGAATGCACTTAGATAATAATGAGGTCTTAGAAAAGACAAAGGGAGAAAACGCAAAAGCAAGAAAATGAACACCAAAAAAATGACAAAAGCTGTTGTTATTATTAAACATAATTTAAGTTTGTTTAATAATAACACATAACACATATAACATAGCACTCCAGTTCTTTATCATCCTTCATAAAAAACCACAATTGCTAAAGTCACTATGGAAAGGCTCTGTTTGCTGAAACATTAATTATGAGTTATTCTGGTAGGTCATAATTTTTAAATTATTGGTGCTTTTTTTGTTTTAATTCCATCTCCTTATGTTTGTGCTTCTACTTTAAAATTGACTTTTCAATTACTATTTCATTTCTTCTCTTGCCATCTTCATCTCTCTCTCATTCAGTTAATGCGCATGGAAAAAGGCTTGTAAAGAAAAATATTGAAGAAGTGAAAAATTTGGCATGGGTTGTGAGGAATTTAGCAATGAGCTGAGAGAATAACAACAGGGTGGGAACGGTTCCCCTGCCCCACTCTCAGCCAGCGTGGCTCTATTTCTGAGGGCAAATGCCACTCCTTAAGTGGCTATATGATAAGGTTAACACAGGAGGGTATCCAGGACAAAAGTTCGATGCCTATAGAAGTTATAAATAGAAACCAGTTATTTCAAAGGTTATGTCCTACAGGGTAACCTAGAGTGATTTCCATATTAGAAATTCACTGTAGTAGTTTAACCTATGCCACCCAAGTTTCTGTATTATTTACTACAAACCACTTTTCTACCACTATAATAATCATAATGGCCTTGATATAGCGGGTCAGTTTATGCATAGACCAAATTGCCCTATCTTTTATAAAGAATTAATCCTTTAAAGATATAAAATTTAATGAAAAAAATATATATATTACATTCAATATTATTTTGTATGTTTCAGGTATACCACATACTAGTGGTTAGATAATCATATACTTTACAAAGGAGACATAAAATTCAATGAAGGCTTTAGGCATAATGTTGGGTTGTTTGCGTTAGTATACACTTTATTTTTTTTAATTGATTTCAGGGAGGAAGGGAGAGGAAGAGAGAGATAGAATCATCAGTGATGAGAGAGAATCATTGATCAGCTGCCTCCTGCATGTGCCCTTGACCGGAATCAAACCTGGGACCCTTCAGTCCATAGGCTAATGCTCTATCCACTGAGCCAAACCAGCTAGGGCAACACAACTTTCATTACAAATGAAACTATGAGACTTGCATACAGAGTGACATTGATTGGAAAGACTTTCAGACAATGGACTCCATACCTTGAGGTTCAGCTGTTATCACAGTTTCCCTTTTTAGACGAATGAGTTTCCAGGCAGGCACTGGTGGTGGTTTCGGTGGTGCTATAAGTGGGCAGGACCTGGTTCTGGTGACCAGCACAGGATGGCTGCAGATGTGGGACAGGCCATATTCTCTGAGCTTCTCAGCAGAAGTGGTCTAACAGGTAGAAAGCAGATTTAAAAGGATGCTTGCCATTGCCTCATGCATTTAAAACAATACTGCTTTTGCCATTATAGAAATACTGCCACCACTATAGAGATGTAGTGGTAATAATGGAAAAAAAAAATAAGCACCCATATTACTACGCCTCTTAACATTAGCACTATTACCTTTTGTGTTTTTAACATCTCTTCATTTTTCTGTGGCCCCATTTCCTTATTTACAAAATGAGTAACTATAAGCTACTTTTGAATTCTAAAAGTTTGATTCTATGAGATTGTGAAAATATTAGTACATTGGTTTTAGTCCAAAGTAATCAATCATGGTATTTATAGGTTTAAACTTTAATACAGGTACTTAATATGGAGTGTGTGTGTGTGTGTGTGTGTGTGTGTGTGTGTGTCCCCAGCAATAGCTACACAATGTTCATAAAATCTACCGCACTGACTGTCTGGGGATAATCAGTTGCCTTGTCCACAGTTTATGCCCTTGCCCACAAACAGCAGTTCCCCACAGGAAATCCCCGTGGTCCCTCTGACAATGGAGGCATTCATAGGCCAGAGAGAGTCTGCCCTGTATCCTGCCAGAGCAAGTAGATTCCCACACAGATGATGCTTCCCATATTCCACCGTTCGGATCTCCTGAAGCCACTCGGCTTTGGAGCAATTCCGAATAATACGGAAGCAGAACTTCAGTCAGTGACTGATGGCTGAGATAGGCCATAAGGACTCAAGAAGAATGTGAAGATGAAAGGAATTTACACTGTAGTCAAATTCTGATGCTCACAGTCTAAATGTTGAAACTGTTAAAGTAAAATAAAACATTAACTACATTAACGTCAGTTTTACCAGTAACTGTTATTCTCCTGGCGATTTTGCATCATTGATCTCTATGGGAATAGAAATGCCTGAAAATGTAAATTTATAAAGCTGTCGGTGGACCAGACAAGAAAGGTGGACCAGAAGCCCACCTTTCAGACTACTCCAAATCATTGCCTCGGCTAGAACATGCCTTGCTCTTGTGACTCTCTCTACAGCTCAATCTAAACTTCAGGGAGACACCAAATAGGGAGGGGATGGGGCATCTGTAAGACAGGACAGTTCCTCCTGAATCCAGAGATTAGTTAATCATTGTAACAATAATTGTAAGGAGTCCATCCGGGTGCTATTGAGTCCAGGTGAGCCATTAAAAGTGTTATAAATATTCAAAATAGAGAGACAGTGATTTTTTTTTAAAAAAAGGACTGAATAAAAAATAAAACTGTCACACCCACTTAATCTTTTGTGAAATGTTAGTAATTTATTGAAAAAAAAATCAGAAACTCTGGAATTATGCCTAGTAATAGCTTAAAAATTACTTTTATGCATGTTCTAAAGTTTAACTTTTTTCCTAGTTTTAACCTGTCAAATTTTAGAAATTTCCCAATACTTTAAAGTAATTCTTTTCATGGGAACTTATTATAAAATTTATGACTGCTATTAAAAAAGATAATGCTCAGTTATTGTAACAAAAATTATATTGCTACAAAATCTACATTGAAGTAATATCCAAAATAGAAATCATACTCCAAGTGGTCTTTATAAACTGCATATTTCTTTTTTTTTTTGCATTTTTTTTAATTTTATTTTTAATTACAAAGGTTATTACATATTTGCCCTTTTTTCCCCCCCGCCTTAGACAGCCCCCTGGCTTCCTTATTTCCCCATTTTTTTATGCCCATTGGTAATGTTTATTTGCATCCCCAAAAGTCCTTTGGTTGAT